TAGTAAATAAAATGCTGGTGGCCCTATACTTCAAAACAAGTCATATCATTTTAGTATTAAGCATTGCTAAGCGTCTCAGAAATTTATTTGTTTGGAAACGAGGTAAGGTCTCGGCATATATGGACAATATTCGCCTTGAAGTGTCTTAATGTCTTTTCCTCGAACTTCACACTCCTCTAAACTCATTTTAGAACTTTATTCTCTCTAATGGACACATATTTTCAACTTAGAATTCATGAAATTAGAAGATGAAAGTGATATTAAGCGGAAAGCAATAACTTAAATTTACATTTACCAATGCTTTTGAAATGTCTTACTTGAGGAATTTTGCAGTGTAGTTAAACCGATTTGCCTTCTTTAATACAATTTTCAACTGCTCTTAAGCTGAAATAAAAATTAGAAGTATAATGTGTTTGAAACCCTAGTGTTATTTACATTGTTATTACTCGAAGAAAGTACTAGATCTGATAATAAACGTACCAGAACACTGAAAATCCATAAAAAATTACTAAATCTAGTTCGAAAGTACTAACAGTGGTCATCCGAGTCGACGTACAGCAATAAAAGAAACTTTATTTTCATGTACGCATATATATGTTGTAGTGTCCAGGGGGTTAACTTCTATCTGGATACAGGAGTAGCAAGAAACTACACAGAAGAAGGGTTCAAACCCTTTATTAACTCTTTAAAATTTACAATGCGTCTGCTTGACGCTAACAAAACTTCGCCTCTACTTGGGCGGTAACCTGAAAGTCAGAGAATAGAAACTAAAAATTTGAAGATATTAACAAACGATATAACTAGACTACAGGGCTCAGCGAAATCCTAAACTTAAACCCCCTTCTAAAACCAGCGGCAGCAGATAAATGCAATTAAGCCATTTGAACCAGCAATCAGCAAACGTACCTACGGCGGAGACGGCAACTAGAGCCCAATTTTCTAACTCTCCTTCTAAACACTCGGTATTTAAACTTTTCTCCTCAAAGTAGAATTTGCATTCTTTCACGCGTGCTACCAAAATTTAACTATTCTGGCACTGACAATTAAGGGAATGAAGGCTTATAGGGAAGTCTGAACTAAAATTTAAATTATTAATAAAAATAAATATAAATCCCTACAATGTATTTTCTTTCCTTTGGACATTTTTTACTGAAAACTGCTTAGATAGGAAAAATATGAAAATATGAGTTAAATAACAGTAATGTTCAATGAAACACAAGAATTCTATAGTAACATTTATAGAAAGAAATTTTATAACTGTTGTTTTGACACAAACACTTTCTTTTAACTCTTTCTTTGAAGGAACAAAATAATGCAGAAAAGTATTTCAAAGAGTGACTGCAACAATAAAAACATTAAGGAAACATTCGCTTCGCTTGTTAGATTTTTACTAGGTTTCACATTTGTTAAAGATTGTCTAAATGCTGACGATATTTCCAAGAGAATTCTGTGCATTATGTTTACAATACTAAATTAAAATATAGTGCATTCAGATTTTGCCTAACTGCAGATGCAACTTCATGAACGAGAAAAGAAAAATATATACTATACTAAGCACATTTTCATTCTTTTCTGATTATTATTAAAGTTTTTGGACTCGGAAATTTTCTACATTAATGCAAATAGATGGCATATTAATACTGAAATAAGTAAAGTGATGAAAGACAATAAGGTATCCAACAACGTTCTAATCGTCAAGTTTGATGAAATTTTTCAAAAACATTTTATTGCTATATTTTAAAGCTCATGCGTTAAATCTTCCCAAAACTATTTCTGTTCTCTTTCCGGTCGTCAGAAGCAGAATTATGGCTGTTCTTGCTCTACGACGTGAACAGAAAGTTTCTGTTTAAGAACCCGGAAGGTAATGCCTAATGGTTGCAAGGTTTATCCTAAGTTTTTAACAGTTAGCTTTAGTTAAAGCCACTTTCTTGTCCCTCCTAATTTCAGCTTACAATTACCTACCAGAATGTGTTTTTAGAATCGCATTTAATGCAAATGTGTAAGAGCGGTATTTAAGTCGAAGTTCATTAGAGAGCAAGAATTTCTGATTAGCGCGCGTTCGCCTTTTTGGCTACACTCTCTCTAAGCTATCGGTCTCTAAGCCCTCGGTCGTATTTCAAGCCCTTGATATTTTTGCCAGCTTAGTTGATATTTAGGGGCTAACTACTTAGAAATCTTGATAGCTTCGTTTATATCTTTTTCGTTAAGCTTTAGTTAAGTTTCATTTCTTATTACTTTGAGTTCTAGCCCAAATGGAGGCCTTGCTGTACCCTATGAGAAGGAGCCATCTATTAAGTTTTTATTTTGAGAAATAAAGGGTAATTGACCCTTCTTGAGTTTTCGTCTCTGTTCATGAACTAAAGCGATTATTCGCTTAAGTGTTCACGAAGTTCCTACACATTTAGATGTTAGATAAAAGATTGTAACCCCACATGGTACACATACTACTTTAAATAACTTTAAAATGATAAACTGAATAATTTTGTAAAGATGATTTTGAACCTTTATATTTGCTATTAAGTGCTTGGGAACAAGATTAGTTTTGGAATTCAATTTTCATTCTTGCAAGATTTTCTTTTCCTTCTGTTTATCTGTGTGTGTATTTCATCAAACCTATTTTTTGAAAAACATGATTTTTTTAAACTTTTCTCTTAAAGAAAAAGCTTTAACTTAAAATATTACTATAGTAATTTTATGAAACGTTTCACAAATATTCTACAAAATATTGTAAATTAAATGGACTAAGGGTTAAGATTTATGTACGTATCTAAAAGTTTCAGACACATTTTTTTAAATAAAGAGAGAAAATTTTCTCGAGAAATAGCTAGTGCATGTACTGAGACAGGTATATTTAATGGACATTTTACTTTGTCACTTAGATATTAGTCCATATAACCTCTTAATAAGTATAAACGATAAAAATAAAAGTAAAATATTGATAAATCTTTTTGTGAGGACCTATTTAGTAATTCTGAAATGTAACAAATTTTTAACCCAAAATGTAAGAAAAAAACCAAAAATTGTACTTTGATTATGTATTTTTATCAATTTAAGTAGTATTCCGCTAAATAGCCCGAATAACAGATTTATTTGTTGTAATTTTTAAAATGTGGGTGTCAAATGTCGTCAAATATCTTAACTAGCTAATAAAATTCAATTTTCACTGAGTAAACATGGATCCATACCATTCATGTCTCCTTCAGCGTGTTTAATGTGATGCAGTCTTCATGAAAATAAAGATTATTTCAATAAATTTCTTGTGTTTGCACGAACATAATTATAATTTTTTATTTGGATTAATGCTATTTGACGAGGTGAAAAGCGCTTTTTGAATGGGCTGTCAGGACTAAGGTTTATTTCAATTAGCGATTCAAATACCTCAGAAAAAATGTTCAGTTAGTTCCACCGAAACTAAAGTATAAAACCCCATCACGCATGTAAGCACACCATTTTTTTGACATTCTTTCTCAGACGTAAAGACCGACAGAAACGCATTTGAAAAACTTTTAATTGCCTTGTTAGGAAATATTTGTTTACAGTTCGCTGAGTCAAAAAAAATTATTTTTCTTTTGTTACAGACGAAAGATTTATTTTAATTAACTTATCATTTTTTATGTTCAATTTCTCCTGCACTGTTCATCTACTCCACCATAAAATGCAAATAAAATGAGTTAAAATATTGAGTGAGAGTCTGAAGTAGGGATTTCCAAACTTTTTTTCGCATCGTCTCCTTTTATGGTTTCTTTGATCTACCCCCTTATATTTTTCTCTGTAATATACAGCATATAAACATAATCATAATGCAAATAATTGCACATAAAATAAATAAAGGATGTTTAAGAACTTTCATGGAACAGACACATATAATCATTCTAAATAATGAATTTATTGATGGTCACATTTGAAGTTTAACTTCAGTTTAAGTACGCTGTAAAAATATCTGTTAGCTGGTCCCAAAGATTTGATAATTTTCATGGGCCTTAAAAATTTCATGGTCCTTAAAACTTTCCATGGCCTTAAAAATTTAGGATAATTTATAAAAAGGTGTTTAATAATCTCTCGGATGCAAATGCCATGGCCAAATACAAACTGAAGGAACATTAAATTCCAATAAAGCACCGGCTCCATAACACCAATGGAGATCGACTTATAACTAAAACCGTAGTCAAGGTTAGAACTGGCCATCACATAGGACTGAAAATTGACAGAGAGGGTATCAAAGCCTACATAAACTGTGATAACTGCCCGGACACAGAATTGAAAACTGCATACCGTTTTGATTTTCCAACCATCCCTAGCTGAATTGTTAAAAATTGGGGGTATTGTTTAAAAGACCGAACTCTACGATGATAACATTTTGCAGATTGCCAGGCCTGTCCTCTTTGCCGATGGCAATATTTGAACAGACCGTTATCATAGACACGACAAGAACAATAATTTCGAAGGCTAAGTGCAACACTGCAGAAGAGTTAAATGTTCTGTAGGTATTGCGCCATCTTTCATTTTTAAAGCACTTGTCACGATGCTTAATTTTTGCGATGCACTGTGATAGTTTTTATTGAATCTGAATATTCTAGAGATACAAATGACTAAATATTATCGAATTTTTCACCAGCGGAAAAATAACACCAGCTAGTATCCATGAAAGTATGAAAAATGTGCACTGAGAATCAAAGGCAAAGATTTGAAGGATGAACATTTCTCTAAACAGTGTCATAAAGCCTTTTTATTCTAACGAATAGAAAAATTGGTTCTAAGCTGAAGTAAATGCGTAGAAAAAGAAAGAAAAATTAATTGTTGGAAAAAATGTTATTATTGTATATTAGGCTTAGAACTTATTGAAATTTTGCTATAATTTTCATAGCTAAACGTTTGTAACTGGGTTATCTTTTGCTCTTGCATAAATTTTATGCATGCGTTGTAAAGATATATACCAAATTTTATCATTCATTTTCATAATTCCAATAAATAATTTAAAGACAAAATAATAAAATAAATCGTTGCTTTTTTTATAAATTCCTTTATTTTCTACTTTTTAATTAGTTTTCATACATAAATGTACATAAGCTTTAATACAGAAATATACAATATCAAATATTTAAGATCTCAATAATATATAATTCCTAGTTTTTAAGACATCCTCTGTACACTTCTATATGTAGAAGACATATGGAGTCTCTCAGTTCTTCCTACAGTTCAGTAGATAAGCTCCACATTATCGTCACAAGTTATAAAAGCTAAGAAGAGACGTTCTGAACACAATTAATAAATCTTTTTCTCTTGCAAAAAGTGAATTCTATGAAATAATTAAATATTCATATAGTACAAAAGGAAATGGGTTATATAAACAAGGGACATGAAGGATTAAAAAACTATGCATACGATATGATTGCCTTATGTTCTACAAAGACTCGGTTCCTCAAGAATATCAGATAGGAAGTACTAAAGGTGGCAGTACAGTGTACCAAAGATGATAGTAAAGAATACTCAAAAGAACAATAAGAAATGCTGTAGATGGATAGATGGAGACAAAATAAATGACGAATTTGTAAAATCCAATAGTTGATACCACAAAGACAATATCATAAATGGTAACATATATAGCCGCACATGATGACACAGTGAGATAACGAAAATAAGAGATAATCCCACAAAAGATAACAAGAGAGCCATAAATTTTTAAAAGTGTTGGAATTAAGGACATGAAAATAAATTGCTCTATATTTCTGCCTTCAATTCTCTTTTCAAATTGAAGGTACGGTTTATCTACTTGAAAATCTGTTGGAGTGAGAGACATGAAAATAAAATGCTGAAAAAATGTGTTGAAACTAAAGTGCTGAAAATACGTATCGAAACCAAAATGCTGAAAAATTGTTTTTCCAGTCCACTCTTCCGTTTGGTGATTCGATATTTCTACCTGAGAATCTGACTTCTCTATTTGGAAATCCGACTTTTTAATTTGAGATTCCAGTTTCTGCCCCTGGGAATCGGATATTTCTTCTACGCGTAAATCCGAATTTTCTGCTTGGTAACCAAGCTCTTCTACTTGAATGTCCGATGCTTCTAGGTGGGCTTTCGACTTCTCTGCTTCAGATTTCGACTGCTGTCTTTGATGATTCAGCTTTTGCTCTTGATCATTAGATTTATTTATTTTTTGGTCTGGCCTTTCTAATTGATGATCCGGCTTCCCTACCACTGGTTGCGACTTTAGATTCTTTATCTAAGAAATAAAAATATAATTATAAATAGTAATTCAAGTATATGTTTAACTTTATTATGAACTTAATATAGCATATCTACCAATCCTGAAATATGAAAAATCGAGACGTCTCTCTGAGCTGAAAAGGCTACTTTAAAAGGACTCAATTGACAAATAAGATATAATTTATAGTACATAATTCGGATTATTAAAATAGTTGTCCATGATTCTGATGTAAAATACATTAATGTAGCCCTTAATTCACTATTTCAAATTTTTATTTTTATTTTATGTTTTTTGCTAATCGCATTCGATTTCATAATTTTCTTAAAATTTGATATCGATGAAAATCCGAGCAGGAAAAAATAAATTTCAGTTTCGAAGTGAAAAACGTTAACGTGCATTAAACCACTCAGATGAACTTCATTCATATATTTATAAAAATATGCCGTTCGTATGTTTAAAGATAAATTACATACAAGTATTTAGCTGTTAAATATCAGCAGCTAAATTAACAAATGTTACCTAATAAAGATTAGTTACATCTTCGTAAAATGCTCTGCAAATCTCTATAATGGATTAAAATACAAGTTGAACAAAAATTAATCAGAAAAAATATAGAGACATCAGAGTTCGTCGAATCAGGAAACATGAAAAAAGCGCTATGCCCTCGCCGGGATTCGAACTCAGGATTAACTAGCTAGGCGTGCTTCTACGTGCACGCGGTAAGAAAAGAGAAAATATCTTACAAATCTGTGATGGAAATTAAAGGACAAAACCCATTCCAAACAGTGATTCTTGCAACTGTGACTTTATTACGTGTCATCAAATTAGGGGGACTTTAAAATTTCGCATTAGAGAACATAAAGCTCGGGGGGGGACTCATAAATTCTCTGTTGCACAGAAATGTTAGTCATAGAATCATATTTTCTGATTATTCTGGGAAAAGTTTCCAGCGTTCTTCAGACTTTCTGTAAAAGTCTTTTTAGTTTAGTTAATGGTTTCAATTTTAATCCTCATTTATCCTAGGACTCAAGCATTTTAATTTTGGAATGTAAGCTTCCCATTTTCGTTAATAGGTGTTGCAAGCCTTTAGTTTCCGTTCTTTTGTTCTAATATCATATCTATTTTTTTCTTTCCACGATTTCTTTTTCAACAGGCATTACAGTTCAATCATTTGCCAATAAACAGAACAAAAGGCACGATTAAAACTTCCGAAATACGTAATATTCACATCTTTACTTACTACACAATTCTAGTTGAAAATTGTTCTGTATTTCTTGTATCCCTTTGATGGCAATGACTATACTACACACTAAGATAAGAAATAACGCAGTCTAAATTGTTTCGCTTAAATTTTTTTATACACGTTGGAACGCTCACAGGGCCAGGCTTTTGCAAAAACTATGCCGCAAAAACTAGAAAATATATGATATTAATTAAAAGTCAAAACAAGCGAGCGAACTTTTTGATAAATATATTTTTTTAAACTCCTGCTTATTCCTCATCTTCGAAAAGCTTCATATCCGCAGCATTATCGCAGTAGTTAAATGGTCCATAGAACATAACAATAATATCTTTCGTAACAAACTTTCTTTCGTGATAAACTTGTAGAGACATTAGGTTATTTCGAAGCAGAAGAGATAAGAAATGAGCAATGCCCTCGCCGGAACTCGAATCTATCGAATACGCGCCGGGAGTGCTGACTATTACATCACAAAGGCATGCTACGAAGGCGGGAGAAATACCTCAGTAACTGAAAGCTATCTGCATAATTTTCAAAATTTCAAAAAGTCTTTTTTTTTTTTTGTTCACACAATGAATAAAACTTAATTTAATTAATATATTTATGATTTGCATTTAAATAAATATTAGGATCACTACTGATTTCATTTGCAAGAGTTTGTTTTTCGGCATCTGCAAAATAATTTACCGAAAACATGCATCATTAATTATATTTTGCAAATATGCCTAAATTTAATCTTAGTGCAAATTCAGCCCGTTTCCAAAAGAGAGTTAATTATTCTCAGCTGAGCCTTAGACGGAAGGATTCACTAATTTTATTCCCAAATGAGCTCGATTGCGAAATATCCGCTCACTTCAGTTGCAACATAGTTTGTAAATAAGATAATGTCAAATCAGTGCTTTCAACGACATAAGACTTTTTTTACCGCAGTTTATCTTATGGGATATGCTTATACACAAAAACAATATTGCACAAATATTTTGGTTTTAGTTTTATTTTGCATTTTTGTATAGAAGCCTTTGACCTCCTTCTACGCGTTTCCATCATTTTTATTTTTGCACGTATTACACGTATGTCGTCGAAATGACTATTAATTCTTCCTGACGTTTTCTAAAACAACTCAAACTTTATGCTTCTGTACTTCAATTTTTGCTTCACCTCTTGTGCATACACGACTTTTCTGGTCCATGACTTTCTCATCTGTATTTACGAGAATACTTCTATTGCAATGTTAAATCGGCAAACCCAACGGCTATTTCCATTTTTCATGGATATGTTTCATTCTAAAAGACTTGCCACTATGAACTATGGCTTTCTGGCCCCTTTGTATTACAGTATATTGCATTTTTTTCTAAGACCCTGTTAATAGAACTCTCAGCATAACTAATAAAGTATAGTACGACAAGTTAACAAAAGAAAAAAAAGAAGAGGGAATGAAGCTGCTACTAGAAATTGGTCTTTAACAATGATCAAATGCAAAAATATGCTAATGTGAACCCTATCATTGTCACGGTCATATACTCATTCTGCTAAACATTTATATGAGGGGATGGAAAACGAAGATTAATATGGAAATGATGGTCAAAAAATATTTCCGTTTCGAACTAAAACGGAAAATAAAATCCTCAAGGCTCTTTCGCGATAAGGCTATTTTGGCCCATCGTTCTAAATTTAATTCATAACTTCAAATTTCTTTACTATATATTTATGGGACCTTATTGTCTTATAAGTTAACTTTCTCTAACGTATTTAATAACAATTAAATCGGTCATATATGATATATAGCAGCGTTGGCCAAACTTCATGTCAGTAAGAGCCGCACGGTTGAATTCAGGAATGTTCGAGAGCCGCATCTAGACTTTCTAAAAGCCACAAGTTCATATTTACATCATTATAGAAGTAGTGGAAGAGGTTTTAAATAGAACGAAATCTCTGATAACTTTGTAGAAAGAGTCTAAACTATTTAATTACTTCTTTTTGGACACTGAATAGTTTTAGTTTACCATATTTCATACATATATTTTATATGCACGAGCCGCACAAATTGCCTGCGGGTGCCATATCAGGCTCGCGAGCCGCACTTTGGCCACCCCTGATATATAGTTTACGTCAAAAATGATGCCACATATTTTTTTTCTGAAACGACGCATTATTCTGTTACAGAAATAACACCTCTAGTCATTTACGAAAATATCTGCTGTTTGTTTTCTTAAAATATTAAGACAACACTTTGAAATCTGGCATATGAAAATTCATTTATCAGATAATACAGAGATAGAAATAAGTTACGAAAATTTTCAAATTTGTTAAATTATTCAGATAATTAGCATCACACTTACCTATAAGCTCCAGTAATGCAAAAGGGAAAAAGTCCAGTATTTTTGTTAAGACATAATTTTTGGTTAAATGAAATCTAATTTCTTCTAATTAGATGATTTACTCTACAATAAGAGTGAGGAAATTTTTTAATCAGAAAAATTATTAATTTAAGCCTAAAAATGCCCTCTTTTCATTTATTAACACGTTCTCCCAAATGCTGGTTAGCTCACGTTGCCTCCAACAGCCGTAAATTTAATGGTCTGTTGCTTTGTATTTTATGATTGTGAAACATATATTTTTCCCCCGTGTTTGACTTTTCTAGACAAAACTTATTTAAGAAACCGGAAAACTTACAAGATCAAGATTAGTAAGGGAATTAAAATATTTAAAAAACCAGCTTCAGGTTATATTGTTGACCTCGAGCTTTACTTTTCATGCCATTTCTTCTACCTCAACATTGAACTCCATTTCACCACTTCATCACTTCATGACATTTCAACCTTCAGTGCTCGCAAGTCTCAGCTCTGAAAATCGAACACTCCGTTTTTGACATGCTTTCATTAGATGGCATGTGAGAAACGCTAACAAATGAAAACCTTGATTTGTTTACGAAACCGTTACGAGCACCACCCGTTCCATGTTGATTGAATGGTATATATAATATACAATGAGTTCAAGAACCAAATTCAAGAACACGATGCTCCTTTAAAAGAAGAAAGAAAATTTTATTTTTATGTTACTCTCTTTAATCAGTGACCTTTTTAAAACTTCCAACTGAAGCCCCAAGCCGTTCAGATTAAAAGACCACTTCCACTATTTCCGGAATTAATAAAACTAAAGAGGAAAAAAAAAACCTGTTTTCAACTCGAAGTGTTAGGTTGGAAGTTTGTTTTTGTTACGACATCCGGTCATTAACCTCTCCAATATCTAAGTTCCTACACGTACTCTCGAACCTTTCCAACAAATTTCATGTCAAGATTTCGTTTATCAGGATGATGTCAAGGGCACCATTTCCTAACTGAAGAAAACTCTCAATTTAACCTAAGGGGATAATCATCTAGTTAAGGCTAAACACTCTACGTGACCAGGTTTAAAAACGAAACCACATATACAGACTAAAAAAAAATACTCTTCTTTAAAATAAAGCTCTGAAAGAAACAAGCACACGTTCACCGGTATAACTTAATGAAAAAGTAATTTATAAAAGGCAGAGATAGATAATTTGATGAGTCTTTTGGGTGTATTTGAAATAGGTTATATGCATTACGGAGGTCAAAATGTAAAAGTTCAATGAATGCAGATATTTGACCTAAACAAATATCTGAAGTAGGGTAAAACAGGTTACATGAAGCATTTTACCGCGCCTTATTTTAATCGAATGTTGTCTGCTGATCGAGTTCCCTGCACATAATTTTTGCTCAGGTCATCGGAAAAGTGAGAGATAAATCAGTTCTTT